TGCGGCCCTTTATGACTAAAATCTGTAAATAACACACAACCCCTTTCTCTCTCAGGTATACATATTCAATTAGCTCAAACAGTGCGAAACATGGGTGCCTGCTTAGACAGAATACTATCTATGGAAAATCAATATGAAATGAGTAAAACAAAGTAGGGTTAAACCTGAAAAAAGGAACGCAACAAAACAACGAACGTGTCGGCAGAAAGCCTTCGTAATATGCGCAAAATTTCTTTTGTTGCCCACGGATACCACTTCTAAGCTAAGTGCTATTTTTTATATTTATATTTATTTTTATACCTCTTTTTCTGTTGTTTTGTTCGCTGACGAAGGCTTTCTGCCGATACGTTTATTGTTTTGTTGCGTTCCTTTTTTCCGGTTTAACCCTATTTTGTTTTCCTCATTTTATATTGTGCTAACCTGATTGCAGTCTCTCTCCTTATTACCCTATGGAAAAATCACATTGAAATTATTTGCAAGGCGATTTTTCTAGAGCTGCGCAGAATTATTCATATCAGACCTTTCTTAACGTTTGATGCATCAAAGAGGCTGATGTCTGCATTTGTGCCATCACGCATGGACTACTGCCATGCTCTCATGGTGGGTCTTGCAGCTACGCTCCTGGATAAAATTAAAAAAGTACAGAATAATGCGGTTCGCATTGTTTTTCGCAAACGCAAATTTGACTATACTAAAACACTTCTGAGAGAGTTGCATTGGCTGCCGGTCCGCGGTCGCATAGAGTGCAAAATTGCAACTCTGTGCTAAGCTGCTTACATGACCTGGCGTCGTCCTATCTCAAAGCGCTCATGACGCCTTATGTACCCACTAGACAACTTCGCTCATCCGATAGTGGCAAACTCTTAATACCACGTGTTCACCTTGAGACTTACGAAAGGCGCACGTTCGCATTTGCTGGCCCAACAATTTGGAACACACTTCGTGTCGCTCACAGAAACAGCCAGACACTGGAGTCATTCAAAACCGATTTGAAAACATCTTTTCCAGCTAGCTATTATCTCCTTGACGTATATTGGCCTGTGTTTTTTATGGTTGCAAGGGATGAAAGACTTAACTTAGAATGGGTATTCTCGTATGTAGTTTTTGTAATGTTGCATTTTGTGTTTCAATGTGGTAAAATATAAATTTTTAAATTTCTCTTTAAATATGGATGACTTTACCGCGCTTCGAGCCTTTGGGGACGACGCGTGATTTTCAAATAAGCTTTATTATTATTATCTAGATGGCACCTGGTTCGTTCGCACCGCCATGGTGCCGCCACTGATTGGGCGGTACCTTCTTTTCGGGTCGTCTAATGAATAAACAATTTTTCTCTCTTTGCTTTATTAATTATTTAATATTACACGTATTTATATCACTGGTGTATCATCTGTTGTCTGCCTTTTAACAATATCACAAAAAACGATCAATTATATACAATATAATGAATTAATAATTTAACAAATAGTAATCATAGAAGCCGAAAATAAGTAGTTGCAATGCATTTACATAATCAATACATATATTACAACCATATAAGACTGACTCTCTGCATGTTTATCACAGTCCCGAAATAGCAATAGAAAAAAATCTCTACAATTTCTCTTTACTTCATCAGTGTATGTAGCCTATTAGTTAGCGGTTTTGAAATATGTAACCCTGGGCCTTGCTGTGAGCTCATAGTTAGCGGTTCTGAAATATGTAACTGTAGGCCTTACAATTGGCCCTGTCAGTTGGTAATGTCAAGCTTAAAAAAAAAAAAAAACTAAAAAAGAAAGAAAAAAAAAACAACTTTACATGTAACCCATGAAAAATAATTAGTCGAAAATGAGGCTGTGGGTTCATGGATGATTGATTCATGCTGTGAGCTCATAGTGAGCGGTTCTGAAAAATGTAACTGTAGGCCTTAAAATTGGCCCTGTCAGTTGGTAATGTCAAGCAAAAAAAAAAAAAAAAAAAACTAAAAAAGAAAGAAAAAAAAAACAACTTTACATGTAACCCATGAAAAATAATTAGTCGAAAATGAGGCTGTGGGTTCATGGATGATTGATTCAGAACCGCTGCCCTAAGATCTTCCAACCATGCAGTCAGCAGCAAAAAAAAAAAAAATCAATAAAAAAATTTAAAAAAAAAAAAAAAAAAAAAAAAAAAAAAAAAAAAAAAAAAAAAAAAAAAAAAAAAAAAAAAGAACATTAAAAACTTCTAGCAATGAGGCGTGCCAAGCCGCCTGGCAATTTTCACGCTCTGAGCACATGTTGAAATTAACGGACTGAGTCGGGCCTCTTTGTGGTTTGCAGTACAACTGAATCAATTAGAACTTTAAATGAAAAACAAAAATAATAAAAAATTCCAATTTTTAGATGTTTTCCCGTATAAATATCCGAGTTTCTGATTATTATTTTCGCAACACCAAGAAAGTAATCGTGTGCAGTGAAGAGTCGACGATCCCACTGAACCATCAGTCGAATTCCTTAACACGTTTTGATCAGTCGACGATCCCACTGAACCATCAGTCGAATTCCTTAACACGTTTTGATCAGTCGACGATCCCACTGAACCATCAGTCAAATACCTTAACACGCGTTTATCAGTCGACGATCCCACTGAACCATCAGTCAAATACCTTAACACGTTTTTCTCAGTCGACGATCCCACTGAACCATCAGTCAAATACCTCAACACGTTTTTATCCTCTTCACGAATGACAAGTATATGGCTGAAGGTTGCGCATTAACTCCAACAATCAGAAATTACTGTTTAAAAAAAACAAAAAAAAAAACAACAAAAAAAAAACCGTGTCCAAAATAAACAAAAAAAAGCTCATCAAAATACCGTGTCTACTGCGTGGCAATATGAAGACATGTTTAGTCAAAGTTTCAGCCCCATTGCCTGATATTACATTTTATAAAGGATTTATAGGAAAAACTTTGCTATTGTTAAGGTTGTTTAATGTAGTATTGCGTACATTGTAAGGTTGTTTAATGTAGTATTGCCTACATTGTAAGGTTGTTTAATGTAGTATTGCCTACATTGTAAGGTTGTTTAATGTAGTATTGCCTACATTGTAAGGTTGTTTAATGTAGTATTGCCTACATTGTAAGGTTGTTACATTGTAGTTAGCAGCGTCGGGCAGACCCGCTTTAATAAATTAAAATAACAGTATCAAGCTTAAAATGATTTTATAGACACTACTTGATATCACATAAAAAAGTCAAACAATTTAAACTTATAAAAACTCAATTAGATAAAATACAAAAATTAATTTCTATTCAAAATTTACCCCCCCCCCAAACCCACCCCACCAAACCACTAAAAAGAAAAAAAAAAAAAAAAAAAAAAAAAAAAAAAAAAAAAAAAAAAAAAATAAAAA